TATATATATATATATATATATATATAACTAATAAAAATAGTCTCAACTATTATGTCTGTCATATCTCAACCGTCCTGAAGAGTTCTGGGGTTGGGTGAAAGGCCTCGTCAGCACTAGATATAGTGTGATTAACTGGCATATTATTATTCACACTTCTTTACTTTCACTCAAATGTTCTATAAGACTAAAGCCAAATGTAAGGGATTAATTTTAACTAAATGTCGGTGTGTATATATATATTAATATGAACATTTTTCTAATTCTGGATTTGATGACGTCTCTACATGCAGGGGTGAAATTCTGCCGGTACTGAGTACCGGAACTTCTTTTTAAGCGGTACTAGTACCAGGACTTATTTGAGTTGATTTGTCGTTTTTGTGTTTACACGTAGATTTTTTTTTCGTTTTCAAAAACGGGTTCACTTCACCCAGCTGAGTACCTCTACTTTTTTTCTTCTTTTTGTTTGGGGGGGGGATTTCACCCCTGCCTACATGTGTTGAGTATTGAGCGCATATTTCGCCCGAAATGATGTTTTTTTTATGTGAGCCCAACTTTTGAGGAATTGTTTCATAATATTCCTGACTTTTTTAATATAAGTTATTTACACCGAAGTAAAGCTGACTATTTGATATAGTGTGAACTCTTCTTATTGTCCAACTTATTACAATTTACATATTGTTACTTATAATAACAGTCAGTTCTTGTTCTAGTGACGTCAATAATGTTTTATAATCTCTTCATTAAAGTTATTACGAATTATGGTATTTAAAAAAGGCTAAGCATATTTTCCGCCTGGTGTTTTAGATATTATTATACAGATGTGTGACAGGGTTGAAATATTCAATACGGAAGTTAACTGGTCATACTGAATACGAAAGTTAACTGGTTATGTTGAATACGTAAGTTATCTGGTCATGTTGAATACGCGACAGATTCAAAAAAGAAAACAATGAATTATGAAAAGGTAAGTAGTCAAGAGGAAAGCAGCAGTTCAAGGTAGAAAAACTCTTACTGATAACCTAATATCCCAGTTACGAAGAAAACGAGAGTCATATAGAAAAATACATGACGTATTTGACTGTATCATAAATCTGAGAAAATGTAGGTTTCAGGACATTCGTTAAGGTTGTTTAAATCTAATAAATATGTTCCCAAATGATCTGGAACGTTCTGCTACTTTAGCTACAGAATGCTCGCAGTTCCAGAAGTTTCTTCAATCAAAAC